ACATTCCGCGTTATAGCAGAAAATCATAGGCGAAACGTACGCATATAGTCAGACGATATGTACATAGCGTTCCAGACCTATCGAATTGCCTCTTCTCTCGACTAATCCGCCTTGATGTAAAAATCGATTTTTCATTCTCTATGAAGAATACCAAAAAATTAACAGTTTCTTTCGCGTTAAAAGAAATAAAAATTTTAAGCTTCGGAAATAGTAAAAGCTTATTCTTCATCCGGTTTCAAATCGATCCGCCGAGAGATTTGCCGTATAAAAATTAATTGCAAAAACGTTTAACGTTGAAAAATGATGAGCAGCGACAAATGATAATCTCCTTCGATATTTGCGATGAAGAAAAATGGACTTGGGATTGAGTAAGGAATCCAGGGATGAAGGATGATCCGAAGGGTCGTGTATACGCTTTATATTTTCCGGTGGGATGGCCGCAACAAATCGGAGTCGCGCATATGAAGACAAAGACGACCGGAATACCTTTCAAGGATTACAACGTGAATACAACCGGAGCTCTCCCTCGTCCCCATTCTGTCTCTCTTTCCTTCTCCCGGGGGGTAATAAAATCGTGACACAGTACTCGAGGTCGCACGAGGAAGATCCCCCCCTTCCACCCCCTTCTTCGTCGTCACCCCTCGACCGCAATCGTCGAATCGTTTATGCGATGCTTTCCGGCAGTCGCGGCAAAAGAAAGGCAGCGTTTTGGCGGCTTTTACGACCCGGCACGTCCTAACTTTTATCCAATTATCAATTTTGCCAATCGCATCGCCCAAAATTTCCGTTCGAGAGATACACGTGCGACGCACGTGATTGATCGAAATTGGCGCTTGGGTCCGAATCGACGCTAACTCGGCGGTAACTCGGCTACGGAGATCGATAAATGTTCGCAACTCTCATTTCCTCGCCTGCCATTATACGCTTCTCGTAGCTCATAGCCTTTGGCCTTTTAACCCTTTGTGTCCGGCGAGAGATTCCAGGAAGAGGTTCTTATATTAGAAAGAAACGTGAAATCTAATGGCCCAAGGTCTGAGCGTTTTCTCGCCGAAAATATTTTAAAAATGTAATTTTTAATATTTATGGAAGGCTATTCTCTCTCTATTCTTTACGTGGAATTTTTTTACATACTGAACATATTTGAACACAGTGTGTCTTTCCATGGAAGCGAAAAGACGTGAAAGAAAAGATGCGAGTGAACATGGAACATTGATAACATGGTTTTAACATGTTGCGTTAATGCGTCACAAAATTCTATTCAAAAATTCCATCAGAGAGCTAATAAGATGTCAATATATCGCTATGGTATTTTTCTATTCATTACTTCGTTACAAATATATTTTTATATATTTTTAGAAATACGGATTCTTGCGTATTGCAAGGGATACGAAATTCGTGGTGAAATCCTGGCGATCGAAAAAAAAACAATACGAGTTCATTTCGAGGGTGTCGGAATGTCTAGATATCGAAAGATCGTCTCGCCGTAAAAAACAAGAATAAAAATACACCCGTTTCGAATTAAATCTCAAGTCTCTTCTCCGATTATTTGTTCGCTGTTAATCGATACGCCACCGCCAGTTGTCTCTTTCATAACAACCATTATTAACCATCACGGAGATAAATATAAGCAAATAATAATTCTCCGGGGACAAAGTCGTCCAAAGTTCCGAATCGCGCAACGCAAACACAATGTGAAAGATCAAATTTAGCAACTTGCAAGATTGCCAAATTGATATCTACCGGTTCGCCTCCCGTCCAATAATTTACGTTTACAAACTTCATGAATTATTTTAACGATTAATGACCTCCGCAAGTTTGTTCGCGATATTCGGCCGATTTAAACGCAAAGGTAACTATTCGGGCTGTTAATCAGTCAGTGCGGAACGGTTTTAAAACGCGACCTCCGTCATCTCGACGTCGAGCGACGAAAGTCGGGAACTGTCTTAACCGCGCCGCGTTGTACGCCGCGTTGTAATTCACCGGGGTTATCGCGATTCGCATCAATATGCCATGCCTCCCCGGCAAACATCGGGCACGTTAGGCATCGTGTCAGCTGAACTAATTTTGCGTTCGGGAATCTCAACGAGGAAAGGCGCAACGCGCCTACAATCAAGCCGTAGCCTCCCCCTTCTTTGCCTAGCCGGCCCTGCGACGAATTCGTGCCGCGATAAGTCGTATCGCGTCACCTGGTATACGGCGGTAAACCATCTTGTTAGAGCAGGAGAAGCATCGAGAAGCGCACGTCATCGAGAAGAGCCCCTCTGTGTATAAACCCTTTGTGCTCGTTCGTCCTCCTTACAGGTAAACAAAGCGCCAACCGCGAGTCAATTTCTCGCCGAATTGCTTTCACTCGTTTCGGTCGTTTGTCACGTCTACTATTGGGGATTCGTTTGACATTATAATGTATAAGGAAAACTACGATATTTATCCTTTGCCCGTGTTTAAACAAAAAAAAAAACATGTGTTTTGTAAATAATTTACGGTTTCTCTTTCGAGGAATAATCGGAGGAAGCTATAATTCTCCGTCCGTCAATATCTAAACTTCCTAAATTTTGTTTTTTTTTTTACAATTCTTCAGTATATTAAAAAAAGAAATAAGTTACATTTTATAAACAAACAAAAAAATGATATATGTGCTTAGATGGGAAGTTGATAGAAATTGTTTTTAACGTTTTAAATAAAAACATTATGTAATGAAATTACACTAAAGAATTTTGCGTTTGTTTCCTTACAAAGAGAGATATATTACGCGATGTCACAAGTCCAAAGAGTTTTGTTCATAATACAAGGCGTCAATAGAACGTAATCCGCTTATTTGATATTACATCAGTTATGTTTGAAACAAGTTTAACGCGCCTGCTGTGCGATTGAAAGTGAATGAAAAATATTTCTTGGGAAGCCTGACATCCAATAATTACGTAATTATCGCAAAAGATTTGCAGTCACGCAATTTCACGGGCATTCGCGATTGCTTTATTTACGTTTCATCGAAATAACGGCCCGATTTCCCCTTTAGGCGGTTCTCGAGACAATAGATAGATTAGCAGTCCGAATTGCGGAGCCAAAATTAGTAACTGTCGTCTGACATTCATCGATCGTTCCCCGGGAATCGTGACAGGAAAGTTTTTCGCAAACCTATATTTCTAACGTCACGTGCGACCGAAACAACGTTATTCGCTCGAGTGCATCTTCTTTGAGTGCAAATCGCCTGGTGGGCGACTTTTCTGTCTTGTTCCTCTTTCGCATCCTTCTTTTTTCCTCCCTCCCTCCTCCTCCTCCTCCTCCTCTCTCTCTCTCTCTCTCTCCTCTCTCTCTCTCTCTCTCTCTCTCTCTCTCTCTCTCTCCTCCTCCTCCTCCTCCTCCTCTCTCTCTCTCTCTCTCTCTCTCTCTCTCTCTCTCTCTCTCTCTCTCTCTCTCTCTCTCTCTCTCAACTTTCCAGCCAGTTCGCGTCATAGCGCGACTTGATTTTTCTAGCAATTTTACTAACTCCACTATTCCCGTATATGTCGTTTGCAGCGCCAGTCGTGCCTGTCTCAGTTACGAAAACTGCAATGTGATTCATACAAATATTGAAAATGAAGCGCGGAATCGCGGTTGTAATGGTAACCCGCTTAACAAATTTATCGTTATTATTAAAACCTAATTTAAATCCATGCGCCGTGTTTGGAAAATCTGGGTTAAATGTTAACTCTACATCGCGTATGCGATTACGTAAGCATTGCAAACAGTTATTAGCCATACGCGGAAGTTTGCAGCTTTTGCGATCGACCATCCATGGTAGCTCGGAAATATAAGTAGCAATAATTCATGTTCGATATAACAGAATTTTCTCGAGACAACTAACAATCTCACAAAACTTGTACCGATCGAATTTTTAAATGTTTAAATTTTTAGAAAATATCTGGTTACACACAAACGATAGATTGTATTTTTATTTTGTCGAGCGACGTATATTGAAAATTTAAATGTTACTTAAAAATATTCATTGGATGTTATTTATAAAAGAAACTGACCGATGCAACGGAAGAAAATTAATTACGCCGACTGTCAGACCGACAATAGACCGAGATTCTGAATTTTAAACTTAATTTATTCGACAGACGCTGCGAGTTAATCAAGACAATAATCGCCCATTCGTACTATTACTTTGTCCTGTAAAAAGTTATAATTTATCTCTGTCATCCGGCAGTAATTTAAGAATTGCGAAAGATGCGCCGGCTAAATATTGTATATAGCGGAATCCCGATTATCCGACTCTCCGTTATCCGACATTCCGTGACACGGGAACTGAAACGAACTTCAACCACGAACTTTTGCGTTCGTGGAATGAGAAGTCGTGCATTTCGTTACATTTCAATTTAAAATAGATAAATTTGTCGTTTTAAAAAACATTTGTCAGTCCGTTATCATAAAAATAGCCGTTGACTGCCCGAAGGGATGAACCTGCGTACGAGATTCTCTTTGGGATCTCGCTTGCCTCTCGTCTCCATTCATTATCCCATTTTCGAGCATCCCATTTTAAAGCATCAGTCGGCCGTCGGGCGTGCCGGACAAACCAAATTTCCCCCGCTATTGTATCCTTCCTCTTTCTATTATTTCGGAAACTAAAGTCGAGGTCACTGGCGACCGTACACGTCTCGATTGGGCCATTCACGGTGTTCGTTACGCTCGCCTCACGAACGGACGAGGTGCACCACCGAGTCTCTCTTACACGTTGCGACTTTCCTTCCTCTAACGAGAGAAAGAGAGTTGGATCGCCACGACGATGTGGCGCGGCAGCTCGGATAAAGTAAGTCCCAACGGATGCGGACTCAGGCCCCGCTGTGAGAATCCATCTCCCTCCCCTTCCCTCTCCCTCCTCCTCCTCCTCCTACTCCCGGTCAACCGGTGCGAGGTGAAGGGAGGGAGGGATCAGGTTCGCGCATGCGCACAGATTCAAATGCTTCGACACGATCGCGTAGCGAACGCGCGTAACCTCGAGAAAGATACAATCCACTCACCGAGAGTTCCAGAGCAGACCACCAGGCCGATGAACAAGAACGTGGATATCGCGACGAGAGACCGCTGGGGCCTCGCCCAGTGCGATGGCCGTGCGACGCATATTCTCGGCATTGTCAACGGTCCCAGAATCCACCACCAGCTCCAATGACGTTCGACCATGTCCTAAGCGGCCTCACGGCGAGAATCACCACCGACGTGGCCCTACTGTCCTCTTCTTTGTGTCAACGGCGTCCCGTTCTCGCTAGTCTTCCCTCGGAACACGCGCTAACAGTCACCAGCTTTTCAACGGTCACTATACACTATTTTCACACGCGCCTCTCATCGTCTCTCACCTCTGTTTTAACCCTTCGACCTTTCCCCTTCTCCTCTCGCGCGTGACCACGCGCGAGATAGAATCGGTTACGATAGAACGAGCACACACGTCACACTCGCGCGCGCGTATGATCTTTATTCCCGGTGCCACAGTCGAGACGTTTCAGCGATATCTACCGAAGACCAACACCGTGCAAACGCGCCTACTCGACTGAACGATACGAGGACGCGACGCGCTCGCTTCGCCCTGCCCGCTCGCGTTCGCTTGCTGGCTGCCGCCTGGAATCCCCCCTCCCCTCCCCGTCGACCGTATCGTGCCTTGTACCCCCACCTCACTCTACCCGCGCCAGGCCGCGACGCCAACCCCCTCCTCACCGGCGTACAAACAGTGATCGCTCCCACTAGTCCATGCTACTTGTTGATCTTCGCCCAGGGATGTGAATCCTCTCGTCGTATCCCGATCCCGCTTCTTCGATCTAGAAAAGAAAACAAAGAGCACGTGTTGCATGTTTTTCTTTTTTGAATAACAATGACTGTAATAAAAATAAGTGAAATAAGTTTAATATAATTTCGTATGATTTGTGAATAATTTAATTTAATGCAATATGGTTTCACAATTACAGTTACTACTAATCATTTCTTTAATAATATATAATATGTAATAATAAAATAAATGGCAAGAATAAAGTAAAAATAATAAATATTCAGTCAACGTTTTTAAAATTAGTATTTATAATTAATACTACATACATATTATCGATTTTGAAAAGATAATTCATTGATATAAAAACGGTAAAAATTTTTCTAAAAAGATTTTTTTTCTAAGAGATATATACCGAATATATAAAAAAAGTATTTAAACACATGTGCAACGAATAAAAAATGTGAAATATTGAAATAAACATGGTAATCTTTTAAAAAATTAATTGTTCGAAAACACCGATGTATAAGCTCATTGCTTATTAGTTAAGCATTTTATGTTACATTTATAAATTTATAACCAACGTAATTTGGAATTCTTTCATTTTGCACACGTCATGTACGATTTACAGCGGCTTTGAAAAATTTGTTGTTTCACAGAAATACGTACATGACACTTTCATATTTAAAAAAAAAGCCACTAGAGTAATTTATTTTCATATATTCCAAGCTACAAACACGAAATATAGATCATGCATTACTGCATTTCAATAATTACATGAATATGTGTATAGCTTAGCTTTATACGCATTGAAAATGAATGCAGCATACGCATCTCGTATTCCGCATATCGCTTGCAATTAAAATCCTCATTCGCAATTTGTTAACGCACATAATTATTCTAATAACAAAACAGGAAAAATGCAGCCAGCGTAATAAGCCGTCGTGTATTTCGCTAAGCATTACGTAAATGCGTCATAATGTACGTATATTCATTTTAACGGTGTAACTTCTGTACTACTTCCATTTCAATCCTAAGATGCGCGTTACATTTCTTGGCGGAGAAATTAAGGATGGCAGGAGTGGCACGGACCAACTCCAATAAGATTACGTATTCCTTATATATGAATAATTATCTACGCAGACATGTTTGAGTTTAATCATATTTCATCTCGTAGAAGCAATATTTTGACTGATGGAACTTTTTTTATGTGTTTGTTATAAAGCTAGGAAGCTTGCTACAAGATTGCCAGATTTTTGCAATTTAGCTCTTAAATAATTTTTAAATGATTATCTTCATCTATAATGATAGATATTTGTTTGCTCAATTATATTTCATACATATTTCATAGAAGTAATATTTTACTATAAAACTTTTTTCTATGTATTTGTTATAAAGCTACAAAAGTTACTACAGAGAACTGGAGTTTGCAATTTTGTTCTTAAAAATTTACAATAAATAAAAATATCTAAATACCTTAGTGCAAATCGAATGACATATTAAAAGGAATTATATATTCATTCATAAAAAAAAAATCACTCCACAAAAACACCCTGCAAGGATAATTCTCTTGATTATAAATATCGCAAATCTCTTAATATTTTATAGCCGTAATAGAGGCGAACAGGAATTCATCTAAGACAGAAGTAGTCCTGCCGATCCTTGATGTCATTGTAAAATGGAAGAAATTATAATTCTACCAGCTTTGTTTCACTTCTAAATATCGACCAAAGTGTTTCGCGCCTGGCTCGATTGCCATTATGAATATATAGGAGATGTATTGTTGTTGCTGCTACTTCGTCCGTTGTATCTCGATGCGCCATCGTAGATCGAGAGAGAGAGAGAGAGAGAGAGAGAGAGAGAGAGAGAGAGAGGGGCATCTCCGTGATCGTTCCACAATTATCCAACGTTATTCGCAAGTCAATTCGTGACTTGTATCGAGACTTGTATCCCGGAATCTCAATTACAGTTAGACCCCTTATACGGGAAGTAATATACTGCAGATTCAACTGTCATGTAGCCTGCGAAATTCAACCGTACAGACACACACACACGTGTGTCTACTACGAAAATTATATATTAAACATGGAACTGCAAGAGACGTGCAAATATTACGCGACTGCGCGAGTAGAGGGCAAGTTTAATCGAGATGATTATTGCAGTGAGATAAATGTGATACGTCCTAGTAAGCGAAAATTATGATTTTCAATTACAGCCGTTTACTTAGAAAAATTATAATCAATAGTAAGATAAGTAAATAGTAAGATAATTGATCCTTTGCGCCTTAGAGACATTGTACTATCGCCAGTTTTATCTGTTAATCGTAAACATTTTATCGTTTTATATATTTAATAAATAAACTAACATTGATTTGACGATCGGGGACTCTAATCTAACGGAGCGCTTACGTTAGTCCGGCCATCCGAAAAATTATTGTCGATTCGGGCGGAAAAGTTAACACTGCACTGCACTCATTAATAATATACAACGTTTCTGTTAAGAAGACACCCACACCCCCGTTTACGAGGACTGCCACTAATGATACCTGAGGGTCATTCGGTGTCGCATGCAGTGCACGTTTATTCGCGACGAATTGCCCTAATTATCGCGGTTTTCTACCGAATTAGAGAGAGATTAGTTCGCCCGGCACTCTCGTTCTTTCGTTTTTCGCTTCTCTCTCGACTCGGAGGGGATATCGCGGAGGATCGCGGAGAGCTAAAGGTACAGAAAATACAGCTGGCCCTGGGGCACTCTGCGAAATTCAATTCCGCGCGTTTCCTCGCAGGGAGTCCCGGTACAGTGTCCCTCCAATTAAACTTCTCAACAATCCGTTCGCGATCAATTAGAACCGGCGAAGACCAGTTTAAGCGAATAATTTTCTCGAACGGGAAATGTTTACGGCGTGTAACGAAATTAGATTCTCCGTCTCCCGGACGTCGTCTCTCTCTCTCTCTCTCTCTCTCTTTTAAGAATTATGTCGCAGTGCGACGTGGGCGGATCAAGCACCGCCACAATGTCAGATTATGCAATTGACCCTTGCGGTTGTCCCGAATCTCAGAGCCACGGTCATCCGAATCTCTTTGGATGTAGTCTAATTGATCCCTCGGCGCCCTTAATCGAATTCATTAAAAGCGTTGATCACGAGAGAATTCCTTAAGATTTACTTTGACTCAGCTGGCAAATAAGATGAATTATCTAATGGAAAAGGTAAAACAAGAGAGAACAAATACGATACGATAATGAGACATTAATGCCGGATTATTTATTACGTATATATGTAATAATTCTTTTCATGAAGAATAATTGTTAATCTTTTCTCCTTTAAATAAAATTCGTACAAAAAAGCTGCGTAAATTACAAGTGTCAAATAGATTCCCCAATTGAATCAAACGGTACGAATCAAATTTATTTTAGCCCGCCCGAATGCATCGGCTGGCGAGTAAACCGACTGGCTTATAACAGTATTTCGGCAATTGCTGAAAATTCCATGGGACATTAATCATCATTATAACAGCAAAACTCGTTGTTGGTCGTTCGGAGCTTTTAATAATCGTACAACACTTGTATACCGCGATGCAATACGCTACTCGTCGATCGTATGCGTCACGTTAATTATTCCTCTAGAACACCTGCTTTTATTCGATACGGCTCATTGTTACGACACATCTTTCATGTATTTACAATCCAAAGAACGATCGGTAAAGTATGGATTATCGCTTATATCGCCAACGATACAAAACAGCTGCACAAAACGAAAACACACGTGATAACTTTCCTTGATAGCGTTTACACCATACTCGGTGGAATGCGAAAGAATACACAACACTGTAAGAAACTTGTTGTAATGCTGAGAATAATATATCACGCAGATAGAAATCTAGTGGTCGTTTCATAATTGAATGTCACGTGACAAAGAAGTTTCATCGAATAAGAAGCTTAAGGCTGCCTTATCTTACCGGAAACTTTTCAAGGAGTTTCTTTTTTAGGAAATGTCTACCTGTTGCTACAATCACATAACTACAGAAGTAATTTTCTTCTAATCGGTTAAATACAATAAAAATATCCGGTATGAAAACAGAAAAGCAGAACTCTCTTTCTCGGAGCCGAGTAATTTGTGCGAACCTCGTTATTTATGTCACGGAAAATTTTCTCGTTATTTAACGTGGTTGAAATTGCAAGGAACGACTAAAAGCGCAGATTCACGGACAACTTTCGGGACGCTTCATCGTTGATAAAGGAGACGCGCGTTTTTTTCGGAGGAGAGAATTAGCGGATTACACGTACCGCATACAAGCAGAACGTAACTCTTCCACCGGGTGAAAAGTAATAGCCTTGAATTTCACGTTAAATAGAATGTGCGGCGCACCGAGTCGTGATATATCGTTTTGGCGCCCGTTAATTGCCGCATTCTCACGGAATTATAATTAATTTCATTTAACTGTCTATTAAATCATCGTCACGCGCACGAATGTGAACGCGAACGATCGTTCGCAAGATGCGCCGCAAAACGCCGCATATTCGGCTGTAAGCAGAAAGCCTCTGTTTACCGTGCGATAAAAACAGAAAAAGATAAAAACAAAATCAAACGAAAAAAAAGTTACCAAAGCTGCCAGGCGGACAATCATTTTCGACAGCCTAACATTCGTTGCACGAATCACTCATGCCAGCAATTGCTCCCAGTCGTCAGGTACTAGAGAACCTTTTTGTCAATTTCATGTATGTATCGGTGTTATAACGGCGTTTAACGCCCGTCATCGATGTGCCGTGAATCCAACAAACAATCGGACGCTTAAAAAGTATATTTTATTTTCCGTC